ACAATGCTATGGATAAAATATGAGAGATGGCATAAAAGTTGAAATAATAAATCATGCGATTCCAAGATCGATGCGTCAGAATGCTGGTGTTAATTATAACAAAAGTCATTTTTGTAAGGAGAATACATTGTTCTGAGCTCTTCCTGGTGAGGGAAACCTGTTTCTCTCTGAAAGCATCTCCTGCTTTTGTTGCTTTTTCCCAAATCTCTAGACGTAAATCATTTTATATAACTCACATTTTTATTATAAATTAAGTAAAGCGCAACGTGTTTGCGTTGGGAAAGAAGATTGGTTAGTTATGGTAATCTAAGCAAGAATTATCGACTCAGTGAGATGGATGTCTCCCTGGAGAAGAAAAAAAGCTTTTGTTTAATTTATGAAGACTCGATTAAACTCTACTATACCAGCCTGCAGCCTCCGCTCAGGCAAACTCGATGAGTTTATCGCAAAAAAAGAAGAATCCCCGCGTTACGACGCTATCCCGGCATAGGAGATGTGAGATTTTCGAGTCTTTGAACGTCGATCAGTTGGAGAGAAAATTCGAATACACATAGAGTTCGTAACTAGCGAACCGATGAATGAGTCTAGAAGAAACTCCAGCAGCTGATATGCCTTAGGCAGAGATAAGTGTGCAATGGCATAAGTGAAAAGAAATTGCATATCTCTACTCTGAAGTGGAGTCCATGTGACCACTCAGTATAAATACATATATACATACATAAATACATAACATTCCCATAAATAATTAAAAAATACATTAAAAGAGAAAATACATAAATACATAAGGAGAGATACATATATACACTAAATACAGACATTGTAGCAGGCGGCGAGTTAAATCAAAACACGAGAAAGGGAGGTGTTTAATTATGTATAATTTAAAAGGTTGCATTAATCAAGGTACCTTAGTACCGCAAGCGGCCGTTTACTGTTTACATCAAGTGTGTAATCATATTGAGGCACAGGTATAGAACTATTATTGACATTTGGAATATTGTAGAAGAATTTGTCAGCAAGGAGTGCAAAATAGTTTGAGATAGTTGGAATTTCCAACTCCTCATGTATGGCCGTATTTCTGATAAACCAACGGCTGCTGGTGACTTGTCTGAGCGTTACATTCTGCAAGACTTGCAGTTTGTTTATATTTGTGCGGCTGGTATATCCCCAAACAGGGCAGGCATAAGAAAGTATGGGACGCAAAAGGGTTTTGTAAATGAGCAACTTATTATCAATAGAGAGAACGGAGTTCCGGCTAATTAAGGGGGTAAGTGTTCGTTTACGAGCACGGTACTTGGCAATAAGCTGTGTAATGTGTGGGGTCCAAGTGAGTCGCCTATCTAAGGTAATGCCTAGGTATCGGGCTTGCTAGTCCACTGCAGAGGGGTGTCATCCGGATCGAGTCTTCCGAGTCTATTGTGACTTTTTTGTGAACCAGATCGCCTCCGACTTGTCCACGTTGATCTTGAATTTCCAAGCTGTGAGCCAGGACTCGAGTGTGAGGATGTGAGCTTGGAGTGCTTGTATAACTGGACCAGGAGATGCATTTTTCGAGAGAATTCTCGTGTCATCGGCGTACATAGCCAGGGTGGTGTGTGGTGATTGTGGGATATCGTGCCTCAGACACAGAGCTTCGCTAAACACTTCGCAACTGTTAAAACATTTTATTATAACAAAACGGTCGAGGTAATTTATTAAAGGAAAGAGATGCCTTACTGGGAGACCTTCTAAAGTAAATAAGCGGATTTATATTACACATGAAATGGAATACCTATGCAACTTAATCTGTCTATCAAACTATCTATCAAAAAGAAAGACGTTAGTTGAGAATTTACCGAGATGTTATTTGAATATAGCAATTCACAGGAGGCTGTTTGCCTGGCACGGGGGATGCCTTGGTGGAAGACTTTCCAAAAGAAACTGGCTCGTAATACATTACACGTGGGAAAAGGCACAAAAACGAACCATGTAGCCAGCTCATTCACCTGGGCGAGAAACCAAGTCGATTGGATTGGATTATTCAATTATGGCAAAGCACACGAGGGCTATCTGCCTAAAGGGAGGGATGCCTTCGTGGAGGACTTTCTAAGGGAAACTGGCTCGTATACACGTTACACATGGGGAAAACCACGAAAACGCCCATGCAGCCAGCCCATTCGCGGGATTTGAAATTCGGACCAAGCTACCAGTGTTGAACGTCTTTACCGCTCGGCCGCTGGTGGGCTAGAAACCAAGTCGAACTCCCGGCAATAAGCGATCGTAACCACTCGGCCACTGAGGGGAGAATTTACTCTGAAAGACATAAGTTTTTATCCTACGGGGATAACCAATGCTAAATGTGTAGATAGCCTGAACGCATAATGCACTCATCTCACTTAACCCTTTGTTGCATCATGTCCACTCTAGTAGACAAAAGTTTAAATTTGTTTATTCTTCTGTAAATGTCTTAACAGATTCCATTCCTGTGTTGATTCATTCTTTAATATAAGAATTTTCAACTGTCGATCATAGATGGCTTTTTAGCATCACTAAGTAAAGCATTGCTATTTGGAAAATGGCTGCTACTTCTGTTTCCGAGTTAGTACAGTTTCTCATAGTAGACATTATATAATGTTGCTTACATTTTCTTATACTGCCATTTTTTATTCATTATTAGGAATTTTAGACATTTTATTTTAAATGTCAGTTTGAGAAAATTGTGGAGTTGGTAGATAAAGATCTACCGAAAAGAGTGAATTGAAACCCAAATGGACTGCTTATCGAGCCAAAACACCACTGGAAATGTTTATGTTTGGCAAGGAATTTCTAGAACATTTGACATTTGAATCCAATAGTTACAGGTTACAAAATCGCAGCAAAATGAATTCAATCCCAATCGACACAATGAAGCTATTTTGGGAGATCTGTATGTACCTGTCAGTTGTAGATTGACCATTTAGAAGATGGTAATGATCACTTCAAACAAGGCAGGAAATGATTTCAAATGCAATGACCGTAAATCGTTGTTAAGAGATTTGTATGCATGTACGTATATGCATGCTGTCCACTGTAGTGAACAAACTGTAGCAATTATTTAAAACGAAATTTGAATAAAATTAATTTTTTTATTATTACTAAGGTTATTTTAAGTAGAAAAAATACCAACATTTTCGTTTAACTTCTCTAGATTTGTATGCAACAAAGGTTTAACCATTACTCACTCTTCATAAAAATGAGGGAAATTTCGATAACTGCCTCACTTTTATGAAACATTACAAGATCTTTCTCGCAACTAATAAATAAATATTTGATACTAAAACGAACATTTACTTTTGAAAGGTTGACAGTACTGGCGGATAAAGCGAAATACTCAGGTTGGCAAATGAGCGATGAAGTAAGTCACCGAAACATTCACGCAATTAGTCATTTAGTTGCCAAAACAATGAACAAAATCATATTCACTAATTTTATCCATTCGCGGTTTGTTTTCTTCAGAACGAACTTGATTTCGAATGATAATGGTTTGTGGCTTTACTGTGACGGCTTGCATAAAGAATTTGTTGTTTAATACAATTTCCTAAGTGCTATGAATATGACTGAAACATACTTTTCATACTTGAAGGACAGTGTGCTAACAATCTCATTTACATGAAGATCGTTAATTCGTAGAAGAATCAACAATTAAAAGTATGAAAAGAAATATGCTACACCCGACGTTTTTCGAGGACGAGTATTATTAAAATAATACAATATATATCAAAAAAGAACATCTAAGATCATTTAAATATTTTAAAAATAAGCAACTCTTACGGAAAAATGCGCTATATACGAAGCTAACTAGCAGAAAATTCAAATAAAATTTGAGGAGGAGTTCAAAGAAAAACCATCTCCCCTAAAACATTTCGTGAACATATATATTTTTGAAAATTTATTTTTATACAAAAGTGTACGTTAATCGGACTAATCGGATTTTTGAAAATTTTCCACGAAAGCTAAATTTAAGCAATCAATTTCTTATTTAATATAGCTACGAAAACAAAATATTTCAAAATTATTAAGTAAATTTCTTATAATCTGTTTTATTAATGAAACAGATAACTCACATGCTTTTTAAAAATAATTCAAAACGTTTCCACCTTTTTAAAATCTTTTTTAATTATGTGATTTGGCCTGCGTTAGCAATTTTTCAAGTTTATATATATACTTTTAAACCCAATTTCATAAAATTATACAAGGTATTCCGACAGCAGCATGCGATAAAGCATTTCATGCGTCAGTTTTCATGCAAAATTTTTTCTTAATTTTTACTTAAAAGTAAAAGTTGCATTTACAACTAACTTACATCATAAAAACTGGAAGATTCTGGAATTTTCCAATACCCATTCGTAATTTACCTTATGAAAAGAAGTTTGTCTGCAAAAATTTCAGAGAATCTCCTCTCCCCTCCCCCATTTTTTAAGAAAAATAAAAAAACATAAGGAGATTTTAAAAATCTGAATTTCTTCGCAGAAGATTCTAACTTTCAAAATTATTCACAGAAAACAAAAATCATTCCAGAATTCCCGTCCATTAAAGTGCACATTATTCACGTGCTAAATTACACACTTTTCTCGATTTAAGCACTAAAATCTGCACAGTATGTTATTTACTTCACGCATTAAAATACATGGTATGCAATTAAATTTAATTCGTTTAAAATTTGCACTGCGAAGTTATTCATAAAATATCACAACTGCTCAAAACTCCTACAGGAATACTTAAAAATATCGATTATGCACACACAAATAAATAAATAAATAAATAAATACTTTTAACGTACACTATAAATATAGAAATGGAATTTAACTTTAAATTGCAAAAATATTTCTTGCAAATAACTAGCATATTTTTACTTTAAACTGCGAAGCAAATTTCAGAAGCAACCACTGGCTCGGATTTAAAGAGCAGCCAAACACGTGGTTGTCCCTTTAAAAGTATCCAGCATGAATGACAGATCGTAAATAATATTTTCCAAAATCCCTCACCTTCTCCATAACATCCTTTTTTCTTGATGCTTTCGTGCACCTGTTTCGTCTCTTTCAAAATTCGTCGCAGCTGCTTACCACCGCGCCTGAACCTCATTAGTTCGCCGGCTAAGTTAGTAGCCATAACCGAACGAGCAGACGGCATTCTGTTATACTATTATCAACGCAAACAGATTAGCCATCACTTATACGAGCGAACGCAACGCTGCCTGGTGGATAGAACCGAAACTGACACTTTCTAACTTGAGCCGGTTCAGTTTTGACCGGCAACTCCGCGACCTTTGACCGAGGAGAGCTGAGAGATTCCTTCCTTCTCTTTTTATGTCGAATTTTTTTTTTTTTTTTTTTTTTTGAAGATGTTCGATAATCTGAGACACGATAGACATTCACTTTGACATCTGTTTAAGTGACATATAAATGATAACCTAAGGAAAAGTTGAAAGTGATCTCAAAACTTTTAATTACGCTTAGTGTTTTCATTGCAAACAAGACTAATCCGGTCCAGATTAGAATATCGGCTTCAAAAATTGTTGTGAAATCGATTCAATGACTGAAGTTTCACAGATTTAAAGCATACACTTTGTTCTAATTGTAAATTATTATAATAAGAAGGGAATTTATTATTTTTATCGGAAATAACGTTCGTAATACGTGGAAGTTAAAAATTCCACGAAAAAGTGGCATTGTAAAAATTATGTAACGGAAGAATCTGATTACTTACCAAAAAACGTAGGTTTACCTTCCAAATACGATTATTTTACGTAAAATGTAAACTCTATCTATTAAAAAAAAAAGGGAGTATGCACAGTTTTGTTTAATTTTAGAACCTATTTAATAGAACATGTAAACAGAAGAAAAATGGTAACAAACTAAAAGGTATACTTACGGTCTATCATCACATGGACAAAATATGTTTTTTATCTTAATTCCACTGCCATTAAAATTAACATTGCACTCATATTTTTTTTATTTTTCGTAGTTAAGATTCTTCTTTTGAAAACTCTTGGACATTTTTTAAATTCTGAACATCTTCTGTTCTTCTTCTGGTACAATTTTAAAAAAGTCGATATGTATTTAATTTAAGAATTAATCATTTTAAAAAACAATTGAAATTTTCGTCTCTTGAGAGGTAAATTGTAATTGTTTTTTAAGTTCGTTTTATGCTGTTAGATCAGTGGAGAATGTGGCTTTAAGGACACAAGTGGTCTTCTTAGACCTTAAATAAACTTGTTGATTGAAACGAAATTTTACAAATCAAATCCCCCTTTCATTTTTATTTGCTTTCATATATTTATTTTTTCTTAAAATTAACCTATTTAAAGCATTAAAAATATAATAAGTTCAATGAAATAATTCTTTTCAACTGATCACGACAATTAGACCATTAGTAAGCCACAGAAGTTCTCTATCTATTGACTCTGCTAGGGTCATTCATGATTTAGTTTTAACACGACTTTAAAAATGTTCATGCTTCCTCCATCTAACTAACCTCACTACCTCGACAAGGATATTGGCAAGTGTTTATATCTGTGGGCCAAGCACTTTAGTTTCTTATCAGCTTTTGACAAAGGTGAGTTATATTACTATTTCAGACCCTTCAACTTAAATAAATCGCACATGGCCGATGGCCGCTGAACCTATGTAATTCGAACTGAGTTCAAATTTCAGTTAACCTTTTGAAGACGGGATGGCCATTATAGTGGCCATAGAGTCCTCTCTTTGAAAAGACGGGCTTGTCCACTTTAGTGGCCATGTCTTTTTCTCCCATTTTCCAGGCTAAAAAAGTGGGGTGAAATGTCAAATTTGACGTCCCTGGGGTTGGTTTTAACCACGTATCTCTTTCAAAGGTCTTCCTTTTGCGACATAGATGCACCCATCTGAGAATCCATTAAACTACACGCAAGAATCTTTGTTGCAAATAGGAGGTGATTTCTTAAAGGGGGGAAAGCATTCGGTTCAAGATTTCCCGTCCTTTGGTAGCTTTTACTGCTACCAAAGCCCCGGCCTCAAAAGGTTAAAGGCAGGCTGCATGGAGTTTTAATGGCTTACTGCCAGTGCCAAAAGCCGTTTTACAGCTTCTGGTGTTTCTACCCCTGCACCTCTTTCTGCTCAAGAAACCTATGTATCGAAATCACGTTTTATAAACAAGAGAATAACAACGGTTAGGAAACACGTTATATCGAAACCGAGATAAACGAGGGACGCTTTATACGACGCTCATCGCTATTTTTAGAATCCAGAGTTCACAAACACAAAAAATTTTTAAAAAATTTCAAATAAACCAATGTTTCGTGACATAATCAATTATTAAAATCACCAGGGCGAAAAAACACATATTTTAATTCAGAAAAAAACTAAATTTTAATTTCTTAGAAGTTTTGGTTTCGATATTATTTTGAATATAATCAGATTTTATAAAAACATAATATTTAAAAAAAAAAAAAAAAAAAAAAAAGATAGACTTACATCCCATCCAAATGACAGTGAAAGTCAAAGAAATATATAGATATTTTATTCAAACAATCTTGTGTTAGTACCAGACAATTATGGTACTTGGTCTTCATAAACACCGAATGAGAAGTAAGCAGCGGCCTTTGGGTGAAGAAAGGAGTTAAAGACTGTTTCCACAATAGTTAAAGACTGTTTTCCAGAAGAAAAGAGTTAGTTTCCACAAGAGCGGCCGCAGATGCAATAGGCGAGTTAAAAAAAAACTAACAATTCGATTCTAATTAATATAGATTTGTAAGAAGTGTACATTGTGCTGTAAATAAATGGGATAACCTCGGATGTCATTCAGCGTGAACAAATGAAACGGCACCGACCACTACTGGATTTTACAAAAATCATACATATCATATGTTGAGTAAGGTTTTTGCACTTGTATTTGTACAGTTACTTAGCACGTTCAAATTCTCAGAGTACATCAACGACCAGACACGAAGCACAGAGGCGGGCAACTGCTGAGTGCGTTGTCCAATGTGGTAGGAATTGCACGTGCTGCTGCAATTCCTTGCGAAGAACTTCCACCATATTTTCCTGATATATCTTTCAAGGTCCCTCGAGGTCATTTTGATTCACTATCATATACTATGCATCATACATTACAGTCATGAGATTACAGTACCGACATGTGTTAAGCAAGCACCATTCTGTATAAAGATAATTCAGTTTAACTTCGAAACCAGTGCGCACACACCATCTGCTTGTGTATACATTTGTCTGTTAGATCCTATATAAAGAGATCGTGAAAGGCCATTTCAAAGACAATTTAATTTTTTCTTAACTGTGCTATCTGCCATGAACATCAGCAGTGTTCATTATCTGCGTACCATTAAAAAGTTAATTAAAGTTTATCCCCGTACCATGAGGGATTCGTGTGTTCCTCAGTAATTATATCTAACAACCACGACTATCTGAAATTGTCTGAAGGCCACCAAATAGGAAATGTTACGATTTGGTGATTGATCGAAGAGCCGTACGCTTATATTACGTTTGAGAACCATTGTACGATTTCTATAATTGCGTTTTTTGTGTTTTTATGAAAAACACAAATATTATTCATTTGCGGCAAACCTATTCATATTTCAATGATTATTTCTTGACAATTTATTTATTCATTATATAAGGTATTTCTCCCGCCTTCTTAGTATACATTTGTGGTGTAGTAGTCAGCACACTCGGCGCGTATTCGAGAGTCCGTGGTTCGAGTCCCGGCTAGGGCATTGCTCATTTCTTCAACTTGCTGCTGTCAGAAATCCTAATGACTCTACAGTGGCGCCCGAACTAAAAAAAGTGATGGATGATGATTCTCCATCACTAGGATTTGGCGACTGGGTCCCCTAATCCCCAATCGCTCTTTTAAAAGGGGGAGTATATAAGTTAATTCTCCCGCCTTCCTAGCATGCCTTTGTGCTGTAGTGGTCAGCACACTCGGCACATATTCGAGAGGTCCGTGGTTCGAGTCTCGGTGGCGTAATGGCAAACCGCACATTGAGTTGATCAATGTTAAACGAATTTCGCTTACTGTGCATGCCCAAAAGAGAATTTGGCGCAGTTACGACTATGGCGCAATTTTAAAGGAAGATAAATACGGTATATGGTTGATATTCTGTTATCTTGGACGTAAACAATTCGAGGTTTTATAACGTGTCAGGTTGTAAGTATCATTACTTGGAGTGTAAATGTCAATTGTAAACTACCTAAATTTAAATTCAGAAGTCAAACAACAAAAATCAGCGTTATATTTTCAAATTTTCACAGGACTAGTTTCGATGGTTTTACCGAACCATCATCCTCAGCTGCAAAAGCGCAAAAAAAAATTTCGGTAAAACCATCGAAATTTAACAATCGGTTAAACCATCGAAAATCGCCAATATTTTCTCCCACGCCAGCGGTACATCATTGAGCATGCGCAGTAAGCGAAATTCGTTAATATTGATCAACTCAATGTGCGGTTTGCCATTAAGCGTCTCGGGGAGGGCACTGCTCATTTCTTCCTGCTATCAGAAATCCTAATAACTCTACAATTAAATATTCATCTAATACTTATTTATTTATATTTAATAGTCTGACATGCCATTTTAGTGATAATAAAGTCTGTCAAAATTTCTTACAAACAACCTTGAAATCGACTTCGCTTTTTGATGTTGTAACTAAGAATATTTCCTGATATTGCATCAGTTAGTTTTTTATCCCAGATATCGACTTGATAACTTCTGGTAGAAAATGTTACCTAATAAAAGTAACTACAAAACAGAAGCAGAGTATTGTTTAAGAGTTCGTCTCTTTCGTCATGCATAACTAATTTCTGAGAAAAATGCAGCAAGAGATGAGAAGGAGACTTTAGCGAGGATCACGAAGAGATAACTAGCGATAAATCGACTGACCCCGAAAGCGACTGAAGTTAAATTCAATTCCCCAAAATGCCAAAAGATAGGCACTGGTTGTAAATTCAAAGGACAGCGTATCTCATACAGGTAGACTGAAATTCTCTCGAAATCTTGATTTCGAACTATTTCCCAATGTTCTCATAGTTTCCTAGAAGCGTGGAGGTATATGAAGGCTGGGCCAAACGGAACAAGCATTTTACAAGTAGGTACAAGTATATCAGAAAAAGGTGCTAGTCCAGCAATCTGAAGCATTATATAAGAGTAATAGAAGACTAATATCTATACCATCAAAGCTAAAGATATTAATATTCTTCGTAAACGTTTATCACGTTCACAAAAAAAAAAAAAAAAAAAAAAAAAAAAAAAAAATTTTTCCTAGTTGTCTCTTCGTGAATTACTAATTATGGCATTCTGCATTTGATACGAGTATTTTATTCTGTGCAAATTCAAATATATCTGACTTTAGTTGGAAAATTTAAATTGTGAAGATATAAGATTGTAAGCAAGTATGTATTTAAAAGCTAGTACA